CCACAATTTATTTATAATAAATGATTATTTCATCATAACAAAATATACTATATGGGAACACAACCCAACATATGATTACCCCAAACGATCACAGTGGCTTAGAGCTGCTGTTTTAGGTGCAAATGATGGTTTACTATCGACTTCTGCATTGATGATCGGAATTGGGGCTGTCCGGAAGGATGTGAAGACAATGATCCTCACTGGAATAGCTGGTTTGGTGGCCGGAGCTTGTAGCATGGCAATCGGGGAATTTGTGTCGGTGTACTCACAATATGATATAGAAGTGGCTCAATTCAAGAGAGAAAATAGGGCTAAAAATGTTGAAAAAATTATAATGGATGAGGCCAAGAAAGAGAAATTGCCAAATCCTTTTTAGGCAGCTGCAGCGTCGGCCTTTGCTTTCGCGATAGGAGCATTAGTGCCTTTGCCGGCGGCGACGTTCATATATGACTATCATGTGAGGTCAGGAGTGGTGGTGGTCGCCGTGAGTGTTGCACTTTTAGGGTTTGGTGGAGTTGGGGCTTTCTTAGGGAGGGCACCTCTTGTAAAATCCTCCTTGAGGGTGTTAATTGGAGGGTGGTTGGCAATGGGAATCACTTTTGGTCTAACAAAATTGATTGGTTCGACCGGAGTATAATGAAAATCAGATAGAATAATAAATCAATTTTTTATATATTGTATTGTTTAAATTCATGGAACCCACCATTAACTTATTCACTAATTAAATGGTGTGCGATGTCATTGATGTTTAGGAGATTATTTCCATTGTTTAATATTGCATGTCAAGCATTTTCTAAGCGCTCGTTTCTTGTACGATAGAGATTTCCTTGTATTTAATTTCCTTCACGTTATTGGTATTATTGTATCTCCTTTCACATTTCAGATTCTTGCAGAAAGTGTCAGAAAGATGAAATTTTTCTTCTTTTCATTTGTCTCCTATTCCCTCCACCACGCCCTCAACACACCCAAAATAACTAAAATAATAAAAGTGAATTTTAACCTTTATGCGCTGATACATACATTATAAGAATCAAAGAACAGTTATTAATCATCTTTCTGAAGTTCAATATATTTACCTTGTTTCATTTTCGAAGAGTGCAATCATTATGACTTTTCGCTTCTCAATTATATGTCTACAAGGGATCATAATAACTTGGAGGTAATATTGATGCCTAGAGCGTACTTCAACAATATATTTAGTACAAACTGTCATTCTTAACAATAGCCTGATTGGTAGAGTCTTGGAAGGAAAATGATAGTTATAAATCACCATTAACAAATTCTTTTACATATCGATAAAGTTACAAAAAGAAAGTGGGAGAATTTTCTTTTATTATTTGGCGGGTGAGATTTTGACTCAATCAAATCTTGCTACATCATTTGTTGATAATCATTGTTTGAGCAGCATTTTTTTTTTCAAAGAATGCATTTTGCAATAGTATTATGATGGAGAATGTGCCGTAAAAAATAAGAAAATTTTTGGATTTACTTGTAATATTATTTTATTAAAGAACTTATAGTTAAAATAAGGTCAAAACACTATTCAAGAATGCATTTTGATGGAAAAAATGAGGCTCAAATAAGGACAAATCTGTAAATTGAGTGATGTATGTGTAACACAATCAAGGAAGGAAATAGTTTTCATATCCTAGTTTGTGCTATAGAAGTTCACTGTGATAGGACTTATGAGAGAAACATATGTGCTAGAAAGTGACAAACATAAGCATGTGATCGACACACGCACAAGGGAATAATAAGGGTAATTTGTCACTCAGAGTCGAATATATTTATTTCGTTATCTGTTAATTTGACAATCTCCACCTTAATTTGATGAAATTAACAATCAAAACCTTAACTTTTACTAAGTGCGAACGCATCCGATTACTCAAACTAGGCGTTCCCAATAGCCGAAATATTCTCATCTTGAAAGCAAAAAATGCTCATCTCCAGACGGTACATTTAACTACCTATAAAAGCCACTCCCATCGGCGTGTGCCTTCCACACTTCTCCATATCCAAAAGAAAAAAAGTACTTTTCAAACCCTATAATCTCTCTTCAAATCTTTTATTTCCCCAAATTTTCGTGGAAGCAATCAGCCCAAGAAAGCCGGAAAATGGGACCAATAAAACCTTACCATCTGTTAATAATGATATTGAAGGGCACGTATTTCAAGAACTCGAAGAAGAAGTTGAAGTTTATGATTACTCAAAAATAAGCAAAGTGGCTTAGAGCTGCTGCTCTAGGCGTTGATGATCGGAATTGGGACTGTCCGGAAGGATATGCCAAGACTATGATCCTCNCTTTCCCCTCCCATCCCAGGCCCAAAATAAATATGTAGAAGAAAATTTTATTAAGTGCATTTTGAACTTAATACTTGAGCACATTGTTAAGACTTGGAATTCCATCTTAAAAGATCAACTTTTTAAAGAGGAGTAACATAAGTCCTTATAAATTAGTTTACATATTCATCTTTATTCGATGTGCAATTTTATCCCTTAACATGTCTTTCAAAATAGTGGCTCATTTAAATAAATCAATCTTGAAATCCGCATACTCATTTTAATCATATGGAATTGCTCGTTAGAATTTAATGGACTCTAATACCATATTAAGACATGAAATTACGTTTTAAAATGTTAACCTTATTAAGAGGAGTAACGCAAATCCTTATAATTTGATTTATATTTTCATCCTTATCTGACGTGGGATTTTATCCCTTAACGCACACAAAAAGGTCTAAGTCAACGTTATTAATGATATTTGTTGCTATACGGGGAAATATTGGATTCTGATAGTCCGTATTTGATTATTTACCGTGAGTTCTTTAGTTTCGATCTAAACAATGACAATTTTAATCCATTATAATGGTTCGCTGAGTATTAATAAATTGAAGTGGAGGAAAACTATGGTTCGATATCATTTATTAAGTTCAATAGGTTTGATCATAGAATTTGAAGGACTACAAAATCAATATGTCTTTTCTTAAAGTGTAAGAAGTGAAAAATGTTTCATCAATTGGAATTTTGTTTATTTAATTTTTTTTTTCAAACAAATATTCTGTAATAAATTTGAATAATGATATTTCTAAGCACTTTTGGTTGATAATAGTCCGTGTGGACTAATTCTCCTCACTTTTTGCGCCATCTTTGATGTTGACTGGGCTAATGTTAAGGATCTCACATCAATGTCTGCCTACAATTTCTTTCTGTTGAAGCAAAATATCGTGCAATTACAAAAGCTACCGTCGAATCATGTTGGATTCAGAATTTCCTTAGTGAGCTTTGGTGAAATTTTGCAACCGTACGTAATCATTGACCAAAAAAAAAAAAAAAAAAATAATTTAAGTGAGTTGACAGTCATTTAAACAAGGAATAGACTTTAATTTGAATTGTATCAATCCATGATCAAATATGTTGGTTACAAAATTAATTGATTGTTTTATGTCCACTACTAATAATTCTATTACATTTACGACCTAAATGCATGTGAATTTATTTATTTATTTATTTATTTTTTTTGAAGCTTTATGTGAGAAAAGCGTGTTAAGAATCCGACTTCACCAATTAAGATGAGTACTAATTCTCAACTTATATATTTTAGCTCTTGTTTGATAACCATTAAAACCAAACTCTATATTTTTTCTCAAACTAATTTTCAATCACACATAAAATATTCTATATGTAAACTTAGAATTTTTTCTTACATTTTAACCATATATTTTCTAAGAAGTTACTATTCCAAAATTCATTCTTTGAAAAAACTCATTTGAATGATTGTGAAACATGACTTAAATGAGACATCGATTGCTTCCCTAGAAATCAGTGAAAGAGGAAGATTTTAAAAGGGAGACTGTAGGGCCTGCGTTATATATGGAGTCAATATGAGTGGGTTTTGCTTGTTTTCAGTCTTTTTGATTATATGGAAGTAAATGAATATAAATGCAGTCAAACTAAGAGAGAATGAGACAAATGTATCCCATTCTACTATATGGAGAGAAGCTTCGGACAATTTTATATGCACAGGTGACATGATCATCCATTTAAATCATGATATCAGGACCTCAAGTTACTCAAATTGCAATATCTTGACATCGCACACCCACTTCGCATGTTTTACGTTAGTGCTTTTGCTTGTATTGCATGCATTATATTTCTATGTATGTATGAGCAAGGAATCCACTTTCTCCACACCACTTCAAACTAAAATTCATTGAATAACAATTATAAATAAGAAAATAACGTAATAGAAAAAGTATTTTTTAAGTTTACAAAATATGTAGGTTTCTTCTCCATAGTTTACAATAATGGTAACTTGAAGAATACTTATTAAAAAATAGAAAGACGTGCCCTTCTCTCTTAGATAAGGGAGGACTTATGTCACTCACCTCCATATTCTAAATTTATTCTATTAAATATATGGTAAAATTTAAATAAATGATGCGATAAATAAGAACAAGTTTAAATTTTGATTGGAAGATACGTCTATATGTATCAGGCAGTTAAATTTCTTCTTCTTCTTTCCTTTTTAGATCAAATCACCCTGTGTGGCTGATCATTATTTGTTATTAATGCAAAAAATCAAAAGGGAAACAAACATAGTTAACAAAAATAAGTGGAATTCACAAACAAACGAGAAACATGTTTGATACACAATATTGAAAAGTGTTGCACAGAACAAAAAAAACACCACATAAGTTTTGAACGTTTCGACCGCTTCCTTATAGTCCAGGAAGGAAACATAGTTAACAAAGTGGAATTCACAAAACAACGAGAAACATGTTTGATACACAATATTGAACAGTGTTACACAGAACAAAAAAAACACCACATAAGTTTTTAACGTTTCGACCGCTTCCTTATAGTCCAGGAAGGAAACATAGTTAACAAAGCGGAATTCACAAACAAACGAGAAACATATTTGATACACAATATTGAACAGTATTACATAGAACCAAAAAAAAAAAAACACACCACATAAGTTTTTAACGTTTCGACCGCTTCCTTATAGTCCAGTTGAACCAATCAATTTGGTAAGACCAAAAGTGATTCCCATAGCCAACCACCCACCAATTAACACTCTCAAGGAAGATCTCACAAGAGGTGCCCTCCCTAAGAAAGCCCCAACTCCACCAAACCCTAAAAGTGCAATACTCACGGCAGCCATGACCACCCCTAACCTCACATGGTAATCACTTATGAACGCCGCAGCCAGCAAAGGCACCAATGCGCCTACAGCGAAAGCAAAGGCTGACGCTGTGGCTGCTTGAAAAGGGTTTGGCAATTTCTCTTTCCTGGCCTCATCCATCTCATTTTTTTCAGCACCTCTAACCCTATTTTCTCTGTTGAATTGAGCCACTTCTATGTCATATTGTGAGTACACAGACACAAATTCTCCGATGGCCATGCTACAAGCTCCAGCCACCAAACCGGCTATTCCGGTGAGGATCATCGTCTTGGCATCCTTGCGGACAGCCCCAACTCCGATCATTAGTGCTGATGTCGAAAGTAAACCATCATTTGCACCTAGAACAGCAGCTCTAAGCCACTGTGCTCGTTTTGAGTAATCATAAACTTGAACTTCTTCTTCAAGTTGTTGAAATGTTTGCCCTTCAATATCATCATTAACAGCAGGTTTGATCTCATTTTCAAGAATATTTTGGTCGATTGCTTCCATGGAATTAGTGAAAGAGGAAGATTTGAAGGGAGATTTAGGGTTTGAGATGCACTATTCTTGATTTGGATATAGAGAAGTGTGGTAGGCACACGCCACTAGGAATGGGATATTTATAGGAAGTTAATTAATGGATAGACGCTGATGCCCATATTTTTCGTCACTGTGAGGAATATAATACATTCACACTGGAAAAAAAATAAAAATTACATGACACGTTTGGTAAGCTTGGATGAATAATTTATTTTATTTATTTATTTATTATTTATTATTTTTTACATAGTTGTCTTTTTTGATTCCAAATTTCAATCATCTCACAATCAAACTATGTTTACAAAAGCAAACAATCGTTGCACGCTCGAATGCAGAAGAAGAGTATAGAGCAATGGCTTGTGAGCTTCTTTGGCTTCAAACCTTACTGAGCTTGGAGTTGAGATTTTGATAAACTAGCAAAAACAAAATTAAAAATAAAATAAAAACTTAAAAACTATGTATCAACCTAATACATCGTAATATTCCAATTTATCATATGATAAAAAGTTATATAAAGAGATCCGCAAACAAAATTCAATAAATCTTGCAGAATTTAATATATAACGATTCTATTTATTTATATTTTCTGTAGCTGCATGTGACATCACTATCTTCATTTGTATTTAACATTGACAACTAAAAGCATTATTTCCGGGTATAAATTATATTTTTCCTTATGTAATATTAAACATTAGCAAATTGATTTAAAAAAAAAATGCCATCTTAAATCAAAACAATGTACTTTAGTTTTTGTAACTTGTACATAAAAATTGTACATAATGATTATTGAAAATAATGTGGGGGAAAAAGATTGAACGAAAATGTTAATCGAGTTTTAAATTGACAAATAGTAAAGTGCTATGCGAATATTATGTAGTCTCTTGTGTAAATCTTGAACTACATGCAGCAAGGTCCATGTACTTTTGCGGAGTGTCGATCTGTAAGGTTAATTTAAGGGTGTGAACACAATGGATTCCTTGATTATACAGCATCATAGTTAATTGATATTCAACTTTGAACCAGTAGGACCTCTATTGTTAGCTATTTATTTTAATGGGTGTGCGTCCTCCACGTGCTTTTGTCCACGGTTGACGAGAACTTTAGCACAAACTAATATGTGAATTTTTTTTATAAAATTTAAAACAAAGCGATGCCTTTAGAAGCGAGAAAGGAAGATGAGAACGCAATCGTATGTTGATTTAACAAATTTAGATAAAAAAATATATATAGAGAGAGAGAGAGAAAATAACAAATCTATTAACTTAATATTTAGAATTATAAGATAAAATTTTAACAGTTTATTTGATAAGAAACTAAATAAGGGACCATTTATTTCATATTTTGCCAATATTATCTCTTAGGCCTTGTTTGATAGGGCTTTTTTCCATGGAAAATGGAAAAAAAATTTCATTTCAACCCAATTTCTCTTGTTTGATTCCCAAAATTTTTCAAGTAATTCATTTTCGACTTCTCCTTCATGTGGCCCCATTTTCTTGGTTTTGAAGGAATTCCAATTGGAATTCCTTGGCTTTTGGTGAGAAAATGGGTTTTCAATCTTTTTTTTTTTTTTTTTTTGGCAATAGAAGCAAATTCTATCTATAATTGTAAAAAATCTATCAATTTAATTGATAATTTTCATGAAAAATAAAGTCAAACGAACACCAAAAGATCCAAAATTTCAACTTTTTTTAGGTGAAAAATTATATAAATAAAACACATTTAATTGACAGTTTCTAATAAAATAAGTTATAGACAATTCAATTTCATGGAATTTATTTTTTTTCCATTCAAATTCCATTCTTGCAATCAAATGGACCCTTAGTGAAACAAACAGTTCTAAATTCATGTTTCCTAAAAAAAAAAAAAGTTCCTAATTCATTAATTAAATGTTCACTGAATTAATAGGCAACGGCAAGAAACGGATAGGAGATTAAGAATGAAATAGACAAATCATATTGATCCCGTATTCCTCGTTTAACGGGGAAATGAGTCAAATTCTATATGGTCTAATTAATCTATTTGACTTAATAACTGATACATTGATTGCTTCCATGGAAATCAACGAGAAAGGAAGATTTCTTAAGGGAGATTTTAGGGTTTGCGATATATATGAAGTGTGGAAGGTGCATGCCAATACGCAGTGTCAACCCTAAAAATTTGGAGGCTCTAAATGAAAAATCATTTTGAGACCCTATATTTTTTTACACATGTAACAATATTTAAATAAAAAAAAAAAAAATATATATATATATATATATATATATATATATATAAAAATCTAACAAACTA